ATTAATCTCTAATCCTATACCCATCTGAAAATCCTTTTTCAGTGTTTTATATTGCTCTGTTGGATTTCTTAGCATTACAGGAATTTGTTTTTTACCCATACAGAGCATATTTGGCACCAACAGGCCCTTCATGAAATTGGTTGGTTGAATTACAATATCATTCATCGGTTTCTCATCTAACTCAACAATGGCAACTTTACTAGAGCAAGGTGGTATGATTGTCTTCTTTTTTATCTTTATTCTGTATATTTTCATTTGTTGGTCCTGTCTATTTGAAGTCATGAAGGATGGAATTTTTTCACCTTTAAGTTTGATAGAATAGTCTGTCAAATCAATAACTGCTTTTTGGCTCTCAAGAAAATCTATACCTAGAATGAGATTATCTGTTATTTCAGCTACAACCATATCCCATTTTACTGTGGAACTGCCTATGTCCAAGTTTACATTTTCTGCTATTCCTGCTTTTAATTCTGAACAAGCTCCAGCACCTTTTAGTATGATGTTACCTTTGACTTTGGGTTTGTAAGTTAACTGGTTAAAGAATGTCTTACTTATAACCGACACCTGTGCTGCCGTGTCTATTACTCCGAAAGTTTTCTTGCTGTTCACCACTACAGGAATATATAATGTCTTGGTGTCTGAGTCTGGGATATTTGTCTTGTATAAATTGACTTCAGTTTGTTTGTCCAAAGAGAGAGTTGGTGGCCTTCCAGTATCACCTGGATGGGCTGAAGGTCGGCCTACTGCTTCAACCCGTTGGAGTTTAAAGATTCCCTGTTTACATTTGGTGAGGGTGACCTTGACCTGTTTCCATATCTTTGTGGCGATCTACTTTTAGGTTTTTCACATTGTGCAATAAAATGTCCTTCTTCACCACAGTTAAAGCATTTATTATCTCTAATAGGACTTCTTCCTGGACTTGATAATCTTTGTGATTGTCCGAATCTATTGGTTGAATTATCTCTTTTCAGGATGTCCAGTATCTGTTTGATGCTCGACTTTGTTTCTTGAACATCTTCTTCTGTCTTTTTAAGTCTTGACTCAAGTTAACTAATTACATCAGTATCACCTGTTCCTTTTCTGTACAAAGCTCTTACACTTGTGGTGGATTCATGATCCCCATGTGAGTTATACATGTCTGTTTCTGTTTCATGGAATGTCACCCTTTTAACCTCAGGCTTTTTATTTCCTAAAATAACTTTCTGATTGGTAACAGCACTCTTTACATACTTAAGCGCTTTGTCCAAACTATCAGGATCCTTATCCATTGCTGTTAGAGCTGCCTTTTTGTCCATACAGCCTTTCAAAAAAGCATCAGTGGCAACTATCTGAATAAAATCATCAGGCGTTCCTGGAAACCCATCAGTTGCAAGATCCTGTGTTCTCTCTGCATACTCATCAAGAGGTTCCTCTGGCAATTGACGAAGGTCTTGCAGTTGTCTCCTTATAACATGAGGTAAGTCCTTTCTTCCAAATCTGTCTTCCATCTTCTTACAAACAGCTAGATATCCTTCCTGGACTGACTTTGGCATTGTGGTAAAAAACTTTAGTGCTCTGTCTCTCAAACATTCAATAAGCTTGTCAAGTCTGTCTTGATTCGTCCAGTTATATCTATTGGCAATATGATTGAATTGGACAAGGTATGGTCGCCAGTCACTCCTACCATCATATGTGCTCATCTTAGGTGGCAATGGACCATCTTGTCGTTTATTGCCCTGTCCTGTGTGTGTATTGGTTTTGGTTTGCCAACTAGGTTCGTCTTTAGTTTCAGCTATTTTCATGCTAGGCTTCTCTTTTGGTAATGACCATTTTCCAATCATCTCCTGTAACTTCGTTTTATCATCTGTCTCCGTCTTCATAGTTATCTGTAATTTTTTCATCTGTTCGTCTCGTTCTTCTATAAATTGATTTAATTTCAGCTCTCTTTCGTTAAATTTGTTAATCAATTCTTCCATTTCTTCCTTATGTCTCATGGCAAGGTTTACATACTGTTGTTCGTAATCGTGTTCTCTGTTTTTCATCTTAACTGTGAAGTCCTGGTTTACAGCTGCAATCCTGTGTTCATAATCTGTTTTCATTAGTGCTTTTTCTTTCTCTGCATTTGAAAAACTTGTTTTTAATTTTTCAATCATTGCTGCCATCTTCTTTATTTCTTTGGCATTTTCTTCTGCTTTCCCCGTAACATCTTCTTGGATCTCTTCTTGGATTTCTTCGGATGATTCTAATATTATACATGTTATAACTCCAGTCTTCATCAGTGGATCCCACATGGTATTAGGAATGTCCGTCATAAGTTTTAGGTCTTCCAAAATAAGAGGGGAGCCTTTCTCTTCTCTTTTATTTATAATCTTTTGTGCTCTTCTGTCGCTTATTCCTGATATCTGTTTTAGTTGTTCCAACGAAGCTGTGTTTATATTGATAGGTTGCGACATAATGGCCAATATCTAATATACTTTTATACAAACAAAAAAAACAAAAAAAAAATCTATGTATGTTACTATCAAAGTATAAGAATTGACTAATGTTAAGATGAATAACAAAAGTAATATGTACGCATAGGCTATTACAATACAGACACAAGCACTATCACAAAACAATAAGCTTTTTCTTTAAAACACAAGCTCAAAAACACTACAACCACAAACAGAATAAGTTGGTTTTTTTTTAAAATCACAAACACTTTTACATACAATCACAATTTTAGAAAATTTGGTATATTGATTTTATTCTGATTTGCCAAGGAAAACACAAGTATAGCAAAAAAACAAAAACAATCTGAAAACACCTATGACATCAGAGGATCTGATGCGCAAAGCTGTTTCAGAAATTAACTAATTTTAATAACCCTGTTTATAGTATTATATAAGTTAAGGGACATAAATATTTAAAACTTCCACATATGAATAAATGTAAATAAACATATAAGTGACACAATCAAATATTTATATTTGTCTTTCTTTTTAATATCAAATATACAAATTCATAAACTCAGAAAAAAAAATTACTATTTAAACACAGGTATGAAATTGTAAACAATGACGTATGTATACACAATTCACAACAAATAGTAGTACAAGTTTATTATCAACACATTCTTTTATCGTAAATGAGTGAACACTTTTCAGACGGTAACACCGAAAAAGCAATTAAACAAAATGAAAAAAAAAAAATAATAATTTGATAACAACTATGACATTAGAAGATCTGACGCACACAGTTGTATCAATAATTAATGAAAAACAAAAGAAAAACATACAAATGATATTTGACATCAGAAGATCTGACGCACAACGGAATATCAATGAATGAGGAAAAAAAATTGTGTTGATTTGTATTAATATAAATAAACAAAACCTGCAATAAACCAAATAGATAATCAAAAACTATCCACTAGTAGTTTGTTTAAGGTTATTTTGTCTTATTCTCAAGGTGTATGCAAATCTGTGTATTTTGTAAATGTGTTACAAAAAGGGGGATGGGAATTTTATCACACGGAAAGTCTGATAATCACAATATGGATATGAAACGAATATATCACTTGCGCAAATATCAAAAGTACTGATAAATCAGCGCGCCATGAAATAATACAATCGCGGGAGAGAAGAAACAAAAATTTTCCTCTCGCGAAAACAAAGAAAAAAATATGAAATTCGGCGGGAATAAATGTCACCGATAAACCGCAGTGTAAATAAGTGGAATCGTGCCGACTTCTGACACCACTGTAATGATTTTATAGGGATATGTGTATGCAGTATATTACCTAAAATATCACAATCTTAGGCTTGAGTCACTGGTTATCTTATAGGCCGCTCATCAAAAGGGGACGTCCGATCAGGATAACAACTAAACTATGACTGCCCAATAATCCATGGGGAATCCCGGAATTCCTTTGTATGACGTAGTAGTTCTCCGAGTGTAAATGGATAATGATAAAGCCAAGTATATTTAGTTCCGAATAAACTGCTGGTATAATACCATATTCCTAACAGTAGTATAAAAATGTAATTAAAAAAATTGGATTCTTCTTTTTATTATTTTATAGGATTGCACACATTTTTAATATGAAGCGCGGAAAAAATGTGCTTTGGTTAATGCTTTTACTTAATGAATGACTATTATTCATTTTGAATTTATTGAACCATAAAATTAATTTTTGACTCTTCACATTGAATAATCCGCGAAGCGGATTATGTAAAATGTGAAGAGTCAAAAATTAATTATATGGTTCAATAAATTCAAAATAAATTATTGTCATTCATTATAAATAAATTTCTATCAAAGATAAGGCTCAAAGAGCTTTTTATAACATTTATATTAACAATAACAACGTACACACATGTTGGCGTATGAATACACAACGTCAGAGTAGGCGTGTCGCCATAAAAATTGACAACACTGAAAATAAAGGTAATATTTTTAACCAATCAGAAGACAGTAAATACACCAAATTTATTTATAGCCCAATAAAATTACATAAAGAAGCATTCAAATCTTAGTTACTATTCCTTATAATTAGCCTTTGGCAAAAATTTGAAATCTAATTAATGTGATTGTATAAATTTTATGAATGAAAATCACTCCCTGAAATTTGTTGGCAGTTTAACATGGTAGTTAAAAGGAACCATGTTTGTATTTTAAAATATTTTAATAATGTTCATTATCACAAATTAAATATTGTGCATGATCGATGGTAAGAAGAAAAGAAGAAATCTATAAAAGCATGAAAAAAGTTGTAGTCAGTGTTTTGATCAACAAAATTCTTTCATAGACCTATACCAACAGGATAAAGAGGTGCTTAGTGGAACTGCCAATACTTCTAGTCCTTTTTTTCAGTTAAAATTTGTCAAAGTTTATAAATTTTTATGGTAAAGTCCATTTGGAAAATCCTTCAATCACTAAAGTTGTTCATGCAGTTGTATATAGTACATTTGTTAGATAAAATGAAATGAACTGAAATGTTTTTCATATAGATATTTATTGGTATTAATATTTTCCTGCAGGTTCAGTATATAGACTTACAAGATAGATTTGCTGGAGATATCAGAACATGTGAGGTTCTTTTGAAACTTATTGGTTGGATTCATCCTAAATTTGGATTTGCTTGGGTTTTACAGGTAATTGATGCATGTATTTGGGAGATAATTGTATTATATTTTAAGCTTAGCCTTCCTAAAATGTAGATTTTATTTTTGCAAATTGAGTTTACCTAGTGACGTGTAGCAGAGCTAAGAAAACGGATATCTGTGACAGTAAAATCAAGTTTTAGGAAGGCCAAGCTTCAATACAATACAGCTATCTCCATTCTAATGCCACATATTAAAATTACATCCATTTTTGTAAATATTTTGGATTAAAATGTCATACATGAAAAAGTCTGAGAAACTGTTACATCAAGTATATACACTAGATGTATTTTATACTTTTAGTATGCTTCTGAATGGTTAAAATATTGGCAAAAAGAAGATTTTGAGGCACAAATTGTGACTTTTTTGTTTATTTTTTTAGAAATAACATACCAAAATAATTCGGAACTCAAAATGGTGGGTTTCTTTAGTTACAGACTGGCGGAACGTCGAATCTAACCCTCAAAATATTTGAATACTTCAATAGAAGTTGGGGCTTTGTTGCAATAACATTGTCGGTCTGCTTGTCCATCCCTTTGTCCAACGAATAGTTTTGTCACTCTTTTCTCAGAAACTACTTACTAGAATGACTTTTTTGGAATGATTTTTTATCAGCATTTTGACAGTGATGCGTTGTAATGTTTGTACCTTTTTAGGATCTGTCAGATACCTTCTTCCTCTTTGCTGACTCTTGACTTAGAATTTTTCAATATCTTGAATGAGCTTTCATCACCCATTTCTCAAATACCACTGAACAGAATGAATTCATATATGGTCAGAAGTTCAACATCGATGAGTTGTAAAGTGAATGAGCTTTCATATGTGTGAGGCACCTACTTCCTGTTTTCTGATACTTTTAAAATATAATGGGGATGTCCTTAGTACAACGCTGTACTGTGCAGTTTTGTTACCTCTATTTTTAGGGACAAGAAATGGGTACAGTTTGCCTGGTCAATAGGATCAATATGAGTGGTTATTAATTTCCTTCCCATAAGATGGCAACTATTGCCAATTTTACTTCATATGTTAAATTTTTCTGAAAAGTTCATCTTCATTAAAACTACGAGGCAATCAATTCAAGCTTTGCCAGGATTTTGTCTTAACCCACCAGTTGATTTAGTTAAAAATGATTTGCTTTCCATTAAAGGCTGTATGGTAACCTGTAATTGTTTTAACCTCAATCATTCTTTGTTCTATTGTAAATAGTTGTATCATAGTCGGTCATACCACATCTCCTTACATAAATACTTTTAATTGTAATAGTTTTGTTTCTATAATAATGGTAGGGGAACCAATAGCACTATGATCTTTTATATATATCCCCTGTTACTTGCATTATTAAAGACTAAATACTTCTATCTGCAATAATGTTTTACAGGACATGAAGACTACTTTGGCAGAAGAACTTGATTTCATTCATGAGGGTAAAAATGCAGAGCGTTGTCAAAATGATCTGAAGCATCTAAAGTATATTTATGTGCCAAAGGTGGATTGGAACAAGACAAGCAAGGTATCTGTATATTTAGTGATGCAAACTCACAACTTAAAAAAATAGCACATTTTAAATCCAATATGCTTAGTGTTTCATGGATTGTAACTTCAGGTTTTGACAATTTTAATTAAACAGCATATTTTATTTGATGCCATAAAATTGTAACCAGGACTGAAATAGATTATGTGTACATTTGAAAGATAAGTATGAAGTCAAGGAATAGATAGAAAACATCTTGAATAGGACAATAAGGGTTATCACCTAATGTATAATACATAATACAACGTCATAAAATTTGGTATAAATATAAAAATTAGGAGATGTGGTATGATTGTGAATGAGTCAACTATCCACCAGAGACCAAAGGACGGGGATATAAGCAATTATAGGTCACCGTACGGCCTTCAACTTTCCACCAGAGACCAAAGGATATAGATATAAGCAATTATAGGTCACTGTACGGCCTTCAACTATCCACCAGAGACCAAAGGACATAGATATAAGTAATTATAGGTCACCGTATGGCCTTCAACTATCCACCAGAGACCAAAGGACATGGATATAAGCAATTATAAGTCACTGTACGGCCTTCAACTATCCACCAGAGACCAAAGAACATGGATATAAGCAATTATAGGTCACTGAACGGCCTTCAACTATCCACCAGAGACCAAAGGACATAGATATAAGTGGTTATAGGTCACCATACGGCCTTCAACTATACACCAGAGACCAAAGGACATAGATATAAGCAATTATAGGTCACTGTACGGCCTTCAACTATCCACTAGAGACCAAAGGTCATGGATATAAGCAATTATAGGTCACTGTAAGGCCTTCAACTATCCACCAGAGACCAAAGGACATAGATATAAGCAATAATAGGTCACCGTACGGCCTTCAACTATCCACCAGAGTTCAAAAGCTGTTATTATTAGCAATTATAGCACACCATCAAGCATTGCTACAACAAATATTTGTAGAACCTGCATTACCGGTAGTTTAGTTTCTAGATGATAATTTTGCTTCACTATAATGACTTAGTATTTGTTGAATTTTAGAGAGTTTTGACCTCAGAGTATATAGATGGATGTAAAGTGAGTGATAAAGAACAGATTAAAGCCATGGGTCTGTCATTACATGATGTAAGTGTAACAGCCACTATGTTCCGTCAGTTACTTTGTTCCGGCGGAACTTTTCAACTAGTTATTTCGTTCCGATGGAACTTTCCAACTAGTTGTTTTATTCCGAGTGCAGTCGAAAAGTTCCGGAAAAAAGTAGCTAGTTGAAAAGTCCTGGAACAATGTAGCAAACAGAATAAGTTGCATTATCATGCAAATTTAGTATTCATAGTACCCTCAAGAGAGGGAAGAATATCCCCCTCCTCATGTGGGTACTTTCAAAAATATCAATTTCAGATTAATGTATAACAATAAATTAGAACTTATTCCGTTATGAAGGCAACATTCTGACCGAGTTAAGTACCATAATAATGAAGAGGGGGAAGATTGAGGATCAGTATATAAGACACTTTTGTTCCCCTTTGAAAAGGTTCAAAGATAATATGTTGCGCTTTTACTTTGCATCAATTCTCCAAATGGAACTTTGTGACTGGTTGATAAGTTCCGTTGGAACTTTTGGGCTAGTTTGTTAGTTCCGGTTTTGACTTATTTGCCAAAGAGGAACTTTGTGGCTAGTTGATAAGTTCCTTTTGACTTTTGTAATCAGTATCTTGGTTTCCCTTTGAAATGTTCAAATATAATATGTTGCGCTTTTACTTTGCATCACTTCTCCAAATGGAACTTTAAAATTGTGACTGGTTGATAAGTTCCGTTGGAACTTTTGGGCTAGTTTGTTAGTTCCGGTTTTGACTAATTTGGCAAAAAGGAACTTTCTAACTAGTTGATATGTTCTGTTGGAACTTTTCAACTAGTCACTTTGTTCCGGTGGAACTTTTAAACCAGAGGAAGAACAAAGTAACTAGTTAATAAGTTCCATCCTCCTTCGGCTAGTTAGTTCTTTCCGCCCGGAACTTTCCAACGTCGGAACAAAAGAGCATTTACATAAGTATATGGTCTTATAATTGTTTTTTTCTTTAATTCAAATTATTTGAAATATTGCTCCTAAGAAACTTGACAGTTTAAAAAAAGGGATAATATCCATTCCATATAAGTTTGTCTCTATTCCTTATAACAAGTATAACAAACTCAAAACTTTGTAAAAAAATTGTATTGTTGTTTTAGTTCTATATTTCCGTTTTATTTACAAAGTCACTATTATTTATTACAAAATATTAGATAAAATATCTTGATTGTTTTCTTATTTTAATTGTTTTATTTATAGGTAGATAAGAAGTTAGTTGAGAGTTTTTCTGACCAGATCTTCCTTACTGGATTTGTTCATGCTGATCCACATCCAGGCAATGGTAATAGATTGGTTACGATGAGGCTTAATTTGAGTTTGAGTAATTTCACTTGGTTGTCATTTTGGAGGTGTAAATGGTTGAATTTCTTATTTGACAACCAACTTGAAAAATGTGGTACAAACAAGTCTGATAAAGGATCCTTACTAGATCATACAGAAATTAAAATTATTCAGAAAATTAAAATTTTTCTAAAGTCTATCTGTCAGTATAACAAGTTTAGTTTGGCTGATTTAAGAAGGAATTTGTGCATTTAGATCTCCAACATGGCATCAAAAGGGAAGTAACTCTTAATCAATTTGTGTCTATCAAAAACTATCTATTTATTGAAGAATTAAGATAAATTATTTTTTATAAAGTAGAAACATGTTTTTGTGGGTGACAGAATACTGTGTAAATTTAAAACGAATGCAAATTTTCTTGGCTCAATAATTTTTGTATCCAGTTACAGTTGTACCATTGAATTTAACGTAGTGAAAAAAAGTTATTGATTTCATTTTTTTTTAGTTAATTTAAGATAATATCTGTGTTCTACCATTTACAACAAACTTCCCCATTTATTTTGTAATTGCCAATGGGATGGATGGTTCATGTTCTTATTGCACATTTGCTGTTCAAAATTCATTCATTAGGTTGAATCAATTATTAACCATTAACTAAAGTCTTTCTTTTTTATTTTTTTCAGTATTTATTAGAAAGGGTGCAGATAAGAAAGCAGAATTAGTATTACTTGACCATGGACTGTATGACACACTAACACAACAGAACAGACAGTCACTAAGTCTATTGTTTAAAGCCATTGTATTGAAAGATGAAGATAAAATGATGAAATACTCTAAGGAGCTAGGAGTTGATGGTAACTTATATAATATTTTCATTAGTTCAAATATCATAGTTATTAGGAAGATTGACTTATTGGTCATCCAATTTAGTGATCAGTTCAGGCGCCTCTTTTCACCAAAAATCTTAAGGCTAACTTTGATCGTAAGATATGCTGAAACATTCATGACTTACAAGTAATTTTTCTCATAAGAATTTTTGCGAAATGAGTTGCATTGATTCCGATTCTCAAAATTGTAAATTTGAAACTGTGCTCTTTGCTTTAGCTTTATTTTTCCAAATTTTAACTCTTTCATACACACATCTACACACATCTACACATGTGCACCTGTACCAATCAAAACATTGAATCATTAGGAAGAGTCCAGTATTTATCACATTGACAACTGCTTAAAAAGTACATTGGATAGGTGAACAGTCTGTTTGGTGTACTGTTCATGCTTCTTGACTTTGATTGAAAGTATATTCTATGGTACTTAAAGATCTAGGACTATCTAAGTCTTCATTCAGATGCCCTGCACTGAGTAGTTCAGAATCTAAATTTAATTAGGTAATCCTGAATTACTGTTTATGATTTGTATAAAAGTTTCATTATTTTACTGAATGATCTATAGTTTCATAATACGGTATTGAAGATTCATTTCAGTTTGTGATCATATTGATTTTAACTAAGTCAATTTTATAAAATATATAATTATCATAAACTGTCACTTGCTGTAGGTTTCATGTTTAGTTTTCTCTTCAATGTAAGATAAATGTAATGTAATCATTAGCATGGTTTGAATCTGAAATAGTAATAACATAGATTGTTGGGTGATTTTGTATAAAAATTATTCTGTCCCAAAAATTCTTGTGATTCCCTGCACTTAATGCAAAGAATTAGTCAAGAAAAATCTTGAATTGGCAAACTCTGTTATAACTGTTGTCCACTGATATTGAAATTCTTCAGTACATTTGATTGTAAAAATTACTTATTTACTTCAATCCCTTTGCTTGGATTTTACAATGATTTTTGTTTGTTTCCATCTTATCATGCATGGTCAAAATGAAAAATAGTTGTACATTTTTTTTTTATTTTGATGTTTTTTCTATAAAATAAAGAAAAGATACCTAAGAGGTAATCAATAACCTTTAGTAAAGGAATGGTTAGCAGTTTCTGCTCAAATGATACCAAAAAAAATCAAATGAAAACTCTCAAATGATGTACAACTCTAAATGGTATGATACATAGGCAAAGGAGAAGACAAATTAAGATTGTCATAGCCTTCTTTGTGTTTACAAAACCTGTCCGTTTTTATTTGGGAAATTGAGCTGATTCCAGGTTTTCCTCACTGAATTAAGAAAGGCATTAAATTTTAAAGTTTGGCTTAAGAAGCAAAAGATTTTTTTTATATGGTCTTTATTGATTTACAGACATCATTCTTTTGACATGCCTTATTACAGATATAAGAAAACACTTTTTTAATCATGCTTGTAGTTTGTAGGTGAAGTTCACAGAAGATTATTTTAGTCCAAACCAGTGAAAAACTTGCCTGTATGATTAGCCAGTAGATAATATTAAAATATTTAGTGAAATTTCAGATTATCAGATATTTGTGTTTTTGGTGAAACAAGGTCCAGTCAAGTTACATAAAGCCCCACCATTATTTAGAGTGAAAATTACAACAAAGGAAGAATTTTACAACCTGGACCAAGAGAAGAAAGATATTTTTTTGGAGGACTACCATGGACTTTGGGACCGTACAATTGATGTGATGAAGGCAATGCCTGCTCCTTTATTCTTTATATTTAGGTAACCAGGGTGCACATTAGAGCTAGATTATAGCCTATTGGAAGTGTGTGTTTGGTTTTGACCTAAAATGTAGTATGGCTAATTTTTCTTGTTTTTCATTCATTTTATAGAATTTACCACTCAAATTTCGGCTTCTTAATAATTTTGGCAAGTCAGGAAGTCCTTTTTGAATATTTGGTTGGTTGTACTGTCAATTGTTGGATTCTTAGATTAAAATTTTAACAACTTCAAAAAAAAATATCAAGTCCAAACGTCACCCCAGTGAAACTAGGATCACTGAAAAAAAATTGTGCCATTGTTAGTCAATGATTAATTGTCTACCTTCTATGGCTAAACCATTTACATACAGAACACCTTGTTATTCACCTCCATGTTTGGGATGGCTCATATTTCCACTATTGACTAATTACTAACCATACTTGTTCTTTTTAAAATGTTCACTTGAAATGCATGCTTTTGTTGTTGTACATTTCATTCTTCACATCCTTCAAATTTACATTATTTGTCTATTTTGCACAGCATTCTATTTTCTGTCATCATAAATCAGGTAATAGAATGACAAAATGATCAAAAATTCTAAAATATCTATATTATAAAAAAAAATCAGTCAACACAAGGTATTCAGGAACTCAATGTTCTTTCTTTTTGTTAAACATGTAAAATTCTCATTTATTTTCCTTTTGAAAATTTATGACATAGTTAAAATTTTGTGAATCTTTACAGTTACTTGTAAAGGGAATTTGAATGAAAAATATGTTTTAATTTTATACATTCATCTTTTATTACAAAATTTAAACACCAGAAACATAAATCTAAATTTTATATAATTGCTCACAAGGGAAGTAACTCTGAATTTTAAGAAAACAAAAAGAAAGCGCCTGAGTCAATGCTAGCGGCAATCCAGTAACCAAGGTTTTATATTTTATTTCCTTTAAACAGCTTTCAGATTTCAAGGACAGTAGCTGATGACAAAGAATGATACAAATCTAAATTTTCCAAATTGCTTCAATATTTATATTTGCTTGAACATTTTGTCATTCACAGATTACCATGTTCTAGGTGAAATAATTGTACAGAGGCCAATTCAAAGGGAAACTCTGCATCTCCCAAATAAATTATCTGATGAAGATCTAGAATACATTAGATTAAGGGCACAGCAACATTTTGATGCTATAATGATTGTATTAAAAGAAATGCCTAGATCACTTCTACTTATTATAAGGTTTGTGAAATAATCATTTGTGAAATTGTTCATTTTGTAGTTGGAACACATAGTTTGTAGTATATTTAATTCTATTAAGTATTTCTTGCACATTTTTTCAACTTTCAACATTGAAGACAATTTTTTAGCTAATATAAAAAACATAGTTTTTTTAATGCTGGAGATCCCATTTTCCTCTTTTGGCACTAAATAAAATTGCAGTGTATTCTTAATAAGACATTGCTGTGAGATATTCCCACTGTATATCAAATGTAATACGAGTTATGTTATGTATTCTTAATAAGACATTGCTGTGAGATATTCCCACTGTATATCAAATGTAATACGAGGTATGTTCAAAAATTGAAACTTATTGGTGATAGAAGATTAAACAATCTTCATTTGCTTTGAATGTAATGTCCCCATAATAGATTTGGTGTGCCTAAATAAACAACATATTCATTTTACTCTGCAACTGTTTTCAAATCCATATACCCAATTTGTTGACAACGGTAAATTTTCCTTGAGTTTTGAATGGGTATTATTAGCAACATTGCAAAAGCATCATGTTATCTTTATATGTGTTATAATCTTCCACTGCTACTCTGTCATATGCCCTTACAGAATCTGTTGCAGTTTTTTCAGATACAAATTTTACCTGTAATATAAACCAATACTTAGCAAGTGAAAAAGATATACAGTGTATGGCCAAAAGTATTTGTCACCTTTCTTTTTTTGCTATATACTTTATATTAAAACAAATTTCTTCAAAAAATTATTTTGAAGCCATTTATTGTTGGAGTTTTACAAACCAGGTTTTTAAAGATACAGAATTGTCTAAAGTATATTTGTTTATTTGGTCATAGTTTTGTTGTAAATTTGTTTTTGTTTTCTCTTGATATGAACATGTATAATGATTTTTTAGAATTTAATTGTAATATATAGCAGATTTATGAACAAAAAATAATACTTGTGCTTAAATCATCAGATGATGAAAAAGCTCCCCAACAAAAAAATAACCAAATAAACAAATAAGTATGTGACAATTCTGCTTCTATTGGTACCAAGTTGATTAAAATCCGACAAGAAATGACCCCTCAATATTTTTCAGGAAAAACCGTAGTTTTATGTGAAATATATAGTGAAATATCCCAAATAAAGAATACTTTTGGCCATCCACTGTATATCTCAGAATCATAACTTGATATTTCAACACATTGCAATAACTAGTTAATTTGTTAACATGTATTTATAAAAAAATAAAAGACCAACGATGATAATTTTTCTTTTCTTTTCAGAAACATGAATACTGTGAGAGCTATCTGCCGAGAACATGGTCATGTTATAGACAGATATGGGATAATGGCTAGAAGGTATGTACTCTCAAGTTAGTTTATAAAAGAAGATTCTGTGTGCAGGATTTTGTGGGTTCCTTCCCTGGCATGGTCAAACCAAAGACTTCAAAATTGTTATTTGCTGCTTCTCCATCCAGCATTTAGAAGTAAGAGCAAAGACTCGTCAGCCCAGAGTCACATGATGTGTACAGGTAGGGTGACGACTTCCTTTTCAGCAAACTGTTACCGTTTGAACTAGCAAGATAAATATCTATAGCTTGTTGGTAAAGTACAGTGCAGGGTTCATATTCAATCTTGTCCTGATATGCTTGTAATATTGGCCAACTTGACATTAAACCCCAATCTGTCATCATTACAGAAGATTTAGTCTGATAATATCACCTCTCCAATAGGTTTGTAATATATTTTCCAATTCTTGAGTACTGATATTGGCCTGGTGAAAACACTTGTGACTTGCTGAAGCAAATGAGATTGAACTAGAAATATTCTTGAAGACAGATGTATATATTGTTGGTACTATGATTCCAATTTTAAAAGTAATAATTTATCATGTTTATAGCAGCCCCGGATTTGTGTTCAATTTAACCATGCTGAGGCTCTATTTTTGTTAATTTAACCCTTTGCTTCTTTGTGGTTCCCTCAGTGAAAAATTTGAATGAAAATACAACCTTCCTTTGGTAAAATCTCCAACAAACCAGAAGCTGCCAACAATTATTTTGATTCTAATGGGGGAAAACTTGCACAAGTGACCTGATTTCTTGTTGCATTTGATGACTCCTCTTCAAAAATATATAATGTTTTGTGCACAAAACACATAGTGAAATTGTTGATTTGTGTCGGTCATAGTATATTATAAAGTATTTTACCACTGCTCCATTCATCTGACGTTTTTAGAACCCTATTTTAGAACTGTTAAATAAATTTTGTGGTCATGTCTTTAATTTCTGTCTTTTCTGTCTTACTATTAGCACAAACTTCGAACATCTTTTTGGGAAAAATTGAACCAATTTAAAGTAGATTTACTGCTGTTCAATGACCCAGTAGGGGGTCTATCAGTTGATTTTTATTGGTTAATATGATAAAAATTAAATTTTGAATAAAAAAAAAACATCTTTCTAGAAAGAGAACAACTACTGGACAGAGAGAAATAGGGCATGGTAAGACTAGTTCATTAGTACTCTACATGTTACAGAAGTATTACAATTATGTAAATTTACTAAATAACAGATTATAATCCAGGATGGAATTCATAATGATATAAAAATTAGGAAACAACTATCCCCCAGATACAAAATATGTGGATGTAAAGATCTGCAGGTTATTGTAAGGCCTTCAATAATAAAAGACCCCAGTATGATAAAATGTGAAACTATTCAAAAGAGAAAACCAACAGCCTTATTTATGCTAAAAATAATTAAAAAAATACAAGTTTGGAAATGGCAACAAATGACAATTACAGGCTACTGACTATGGACAAATAAAATTGAGAATGGAAATGGGGAAAGTGTCAAAGAGACAACAACCTGACCATAGAGCAGACAACAGCCGAAGGCCACCAATAGGTCTTCAATGCAGCGAGAAACTCCCACACCCGGAGGCGTCCTTCAGCTGGCCCCTAAACAAATATGTATACTAGTTCAGTGATAATGGACGTCATACTAAACTCCAAATTGTACACAAGAAACTAAAATTAAAAATGATACAAGACTAACAAAGGCCAGTGGCTCCTGACTTGGGACAGGCGCAAAAATGCGGCGGGGTTAAACATGTTTTTTGAGATCTCAACCCTCCCCCTATACCTCTAGCCAATGTTGAAAAAACAAACGTACAACAGTACGCACAGTAAAACTCAGTTTAAGAGAAATCCGAGTCCGATGTCAGAATAGGAAACAAAAGAAAATAAACAAAATGACAATAATACATAAATAACAACAGACTACTAGCAGTTACTGACATGCCAGCTTCAGACCTCAATTAAACTGATTGAAAGATTATGTCTTCATCATATGAATATCAGGCACAATCCCTCCTGTTAGGGGTTTAGTATTATACCGTCATAAAATATATGAGAAGAACATAAAGACTGCCATAAATATCAATTATGATAGAAATCTGTTAGATTTAATCATGATTGTAAACTTAAACTTATGACTGCATTTAATTTTATAGTGCAATAGTTGGAGCCAATAAGATGGCAGGACAGGATCTAAGTCTAGGTGGACGTCTGAAATCATGTTGGGAACGATTCCTCTTTGACTATAGTATCATTACAGAACGATGGATCATTAATCTAGGATATTTATATCTTAGAATACTCCAGTTTCTAGGAAGAGCTCCTTCATTGGCAAAAATTCAGTATCTTATTGATTCAGAGGAGAAAAGGTATGGTTATTTCTTCAATCAACATGTTTGTAAACTTTCTTTTTCAGTTTATGACATTTGCTTTAAATTCTGTTAAAATGCTTCATATTTTGACTAATATCAAATATCAAATGGATTCGAATCATATATTTGTCTCCTTTACTTGAATTCATTGAACACATTTTCACTTGTTAGCTTGTAAAGTCAAAGTTTGTCACTTATTTATTAAATGAATGTTTGATAGGTTTCAGGATTATATATGGATTAATAATTTGTGTTTGGACATCTTTTTCTATTTCATAACTTTCTATGGTTTGGTCTGTTTTGTTATTGAAAAATTACAATTCAGAAGAAGATACAAAATATATAATGTATAGTTAATTATGTCTTGTTAATAAGGTAGTTTTCTATGTAGTGTTTTGTTGACTGTTGATTGTCTTTTTAATTTTATGCCATGGTATTGCCGTATTTTCTTTGACTTCTTCTCTTTAATTGTACCTTTGGTATCACCTGCTTCTGTTTCCTTTAAATTGAACATGTGGGTAATATAGACCAATTTTCAACAGTAATTATTTAGTTATTTGGGTTTTTTTTTGCATTGAAAAAATATGAAAATGATATAGATAGTAAGTATGAAAATAAGTGTTACCCTTGTCCATCTGTCTGTCTGTCTTGTCTGTCTGTCTGTATGTCCCAAAATTGGTTTAGTTTGCCTCAACCAAATGTCATGAAACTTATACACAATGCTTCTTACCACAAAACACAGATCAAGTTCGAATTTGGGTGGCGTCACTCTTTTTCTCGAGTTATGCCCCTTTATAACATTCTATGCAAGCAGGGGCATCATCTGTGTCCCATGGACACATTCTCCATTATTTTTTTAATGAGGTTGAATCATTCACTTTTGATAAAGGTTTATGATATGTCCAGCCTGACAGAAAAAACAAATGCTCTATTTGTTGAGAATGTACCTGTTTTAAAAATCATCTGTTACTTCTAACATCATTCAATGTTGTTGTTATTCTTAACTCTCTTTAACAATAGTTACCATTATTTTTATCTTGTTTAGTTTTGTTGAAAACCTTGAGATAAATCATCTGTTTGTCAATCAACTTAAATCATTGCTGTTTGTAATCATAAATTATCTCTTATACTAACTGTTCATTGTTTCTGTGTATTTAATATCTGTACTGTTTGTAGTGTATGTTTGTCTTTTGTTTCTTTAGTGTCTTTTTTCTGCTGTCTGTTTCTTGCACACTATCTTATAGCTCTTGTTTTTCTAGATCTTTGTAGATATTGAGGTTAGTACGAAATGCCTTGTACGTTTTACATTTCTTGAGTTGATGGTTTTGCTGTACATGTATAAGTACCGGTACAATAATTCATTGTGAAAAAAAATTGCATGAAAGTGTATTATAGAAAAAAATATGTATGAATCTATTTTTTATAGATGAAGTATTTCTATATAATATATACATTTACTCCACCATGAAGTTTTCTTTAAAAATTGTAGGGACTATCCACAAAAATTTGTATCTTGAATAAACAATCATGAAAGTAAAACATTTCAAATTTGCTTTGATTGATGAATATTTTCTGGTTTTGGTTCACTGACAGCCAAATTTTTGGAAAGCTGAGGTAAAAACTGACTTAGGTAAACTTTACCTTCAAAATTTGTCCTGATAATCTGATAAATCATGCAATCGGCTTTGAAAATATAATTGTCTGAGGATTACAATTTAAAGTCATGTAGGAAAACCGGTGGTGACTGACTGATAGATTGAATTGTACTAATACACTGCCGCTTTAAAGAAGGGACTGCATTACCCGTGTCCTCCCGTCCATCCCATAATATTTTCTTCACATTTTTCTCAGATATTACAATAAGGAATTTTCTAAAATTTTGTATCAATCTTCATCGCTCTTCAACTTCCTGTTTACCAAAAACTTAAAACGGGGGTCCTCATCTTTAGTGAGCAATAGTTCATGGTTCTTTGCCAATAGGTTGGATAAACATGACCTATCCAGCACTGTTGCATCTGTCAGACTCATTATGTCTGACTGCCTTAAATAGACATAGCTTATGAACAACAGTTTGAATTATAACCCAAATCATGGACTGAGAGAATTTTAGATTTTAAATTTTTATGATACCTATTGAGCTCTGAATTTGTCATCAATGTACAATAACGAGAGGGGTTTACATTTTTTTTTGTGTACTTAGCTCTGAAGTTTCTACTTTTTTTTTTTTTATCAGTATCCTCCAATTTATTTGCAAATTAGAAAAAATATGGTCTTGCTTTAAACCACCATGTCAGTTAGGGGATTAACTTAGATATATGAATGAAAATAAATGGGGTTATATGACAGTAAGACAGCAACCAAACCACACAAATAATCAAAAGACATCTAAGAGGTCAACATACTGTTCTATAATAGACAGTTTACAATATGTCAAGCTCTAAATCACCCCGAGTCTAAAAAAATTGTGTGGGGCCTCGGTGGCCAAGTGGTCTAAGTAGTCGAACTACTTTATAACTAGCCAGTCAACACTGAGGTTGTGAGTTCGAATCCTGCACTTGGCAGGTGCACTCGACTCTAATCTTAATTGACTGGGATTGTCAGTTTTCCTACCAAAGGTCGGTGGTTTACTATGGGCACTCCGTCTTCCTCCACCAATAAAAAGTGAACACCACGAAATAGCACAATAGTGTTGAAAGTTGCGATAAAACACCAATCAATCAATCAATCAAAAATTGTGAATGAATTTACTAGAGACTATCAGAGATCTACTACTTATATATATATATATATATTGAACGCTGGTACTCAAAGCAATTTGATTGGAAAATCACACGATTATTTGTCTGTAAACACTTTACATTTAAGCATGGTTGTTTATATTTCTCTTGCATGAATATATTTCTGTACATCTCTCGTAAGACATCATTAGATAGAATTGATAGTGCACATTATATTAATATTCTGATTAGTGCATGTAACCAATGAATGTTCTGTATGCTTAGACAGTCTAGAGTGGGGGATGTTTTATGATATAAATGAAATACTAAATTGCTTTTTCTAATTAATGATCTTCTGCATCTAATGATAATCTTATTTGTTTCTGTTGAGATATTAATTTAAAAAAGTGTATAACAAGAATTATAGCATATTACACTTTTGATTATGATGGTGAAAAATATATTGAAAATTGGTTTTGGGAGAACACTTATTATATCTGAAAAATAATGAAATGCATGTAAATAAGTATCCAATTTATAACGTCAAAAGTGATTTAAATTTTTCTTAATTTCTTTACAGGTATGATACAGTCTAATCAGAGATGGAGAAGAAAGCCAGTATTAAGTTTAACAGATGTGCCAAAACAGACAGCTACTGCCAGATTAAAACAATAAAAAATTGACACCTGCTTGTTTTGTTTATAATGGATATCAACATAACTCTTTATTTTCAAGGTTACAAACGCCCATTTAATGTTCACCCAATTTGATATACTTTGGATTCATTATTATTCATGGGATACCAATCTTCATGTATTTCGTGGGTACAGGTTAACCACGACTTTAAATGTCTAATAAGTATAAATTTTCTATAGATCTAGACCTGTATGGAGACTTTGGCTAAACCACTAATTCAAATATCCAAGAAAATACATTTGTTTCTCAATCTACAAATATTGGTATCCACAAAAATATATGAATCCACTTATGATTGAGAATATATTTTAAGTACATCTACTTTTTCTTGTTAAATGCTTGTTTTATGTATTCAATAGTATTTAATGTAATTGCCTAAACTATTAAATATGTCATGTTGCCATATCTGCTGCAGAGGTATCTGTAAAATTTTATAACAGAATGTTCTATATCTCAATTTTTATTAGTTTTTATATACAAGTATATTTTTGAATCACCCAGTTGATACACATCACTCTTTCCATGTGGGAAAGCTCCTTGCCATTTTATTGTGCCTTACTTTGACCAATATATATGATGTACAATATTTATAGGCTGTAAGTCTAATGAATATTTAAGCCAGATGAAATAAATTCCTTTATTTCCAACCAATGAATTTACATAGAAATATTTCCTCTATTTTACCAGCCCTGATCTTGGTAAGGTTTAAATCAGGTTTAATGAAATTCAGGAAATTAGTACAAGTTCATTTTTCTATTTAACATTTTCTACAAATTTTAATTACATGTCTCATGAATTCATCGAGAAGTTTTCATTTATATTGGACTCTAGAAATCTATTCTTTATTCACAGCAAAAAAAGACGTATCAAACAATGAATTAAGTATAACTTTACACTGTGTTTATATTGACACATACAAGTGTGTACATTTAAATATACATTTTTTGTTATGCTGGTCATTTCAATTGTTTTATGTTTTTATTATTCCGAGTCTGTGTTTATTTATTTGTTTAAAAAATTTTGTTTCATTTTGATATTTTTAAGTGTTACATTATTACTAGTTCTGTTTTTTTAACACAAAATCTAAACAAAAATTAACATAATTCATTTGTCTTCTAAAGATATTTTCACAGAGACAGGGACATGATTGGGATGTATGTGTTATATTAGATATAGGAACATAACAAGCAAAGATCAGTGATACATGTTCTGTATGTACACTCGTCTCCAAACATTATAATGGAGAAATCGCTATGTTATATTTGAATGGGCATTTTTGAATCATACCTCTATTAAATTTATAGTTGTTTTCTTAATTGAAATTTTTCAAAACTTCTTCATGGCATTTAAAGATAGCATTCATGAATTATTTACTTTGTTCATTTAATACTCAGCATTTGTAAATGTTATTTTGAAAATGTTTTGAATTATTTTTTTAAAGCTGTTCACAATATCTATTATGTTTTATAAGAATTTATACCCACCAGTTAAGCATTATTATCATCTGATTTCAGATTTCAAAATACTTATCATGAATTTGTTGATTTTACATTCAGCTTTTTTTTTATTGATTATCAGAGTATTTTAAGAAAAAGAGATATTTATTTTATTGCTTTATTTTTGCTGTGATATTAAACTTTACATTGCTAATTATTTTTTATGTAACTGATATTACATTATATTTTACACGTTGTCAGGGACAAACAATGTGAATGATATTGTTTTATCTATTATTTTTTAAGATAAGCTTTGTATTACTGATTTTGGTTTCCTCAAAGATTGTGTCAGAGCTTTATTTAGCTATCAATACTTCTGTGATCTTAGAAATAGTATTATTGTTACAGTGTACATATCATAATTTGCCAAAATTTTTGTTAAAAATCTGGTTAAATTCTGTGTTGAAAAACTGGACTTTAACACTGAAAAACCAAGAAATACAGAACATAACGACCAACAGCATATAATGTGATGAACAGATAAAAGGTTAAAGCCATAGTTTGTCATATTATAAAGTTAAAATGTTTTTATTTTATTCTCATTCCATAATATACTCATTGAAAAAAAAATTTTGGTTTAAATATTTGGCCAGTTTCTGTCTGAAATCTTTATTTTTTGGTGTACTTGAGGATTTAACAAGTTTTACCTTTTATGTTTTTGAGTTAAATCAAAAATACACAATTTAAGGCGCATAGAAAAATATTAAGATATCTTTACTTTGGAAGTTCTGATATTAGTGTATGTATACTTGTAAAATATTTAAAAAAAAACTATCCTCGATGATTGGAAGTTCGTTACCCTAACTCGAAACAGAAGAAAAAAATCACAACCTTGGAGCAACTATTATCCACTGTGAATGTAATTATTCTTTACTTATTTGCAAAAAGTCTGATACACTTTATTGATGAATAGCTTCAGAAACATGGTCAATCTTTCTATGTTTCGTATTTTGACCCGATTCCGTAAAATAAGTAGACATGCTTGTAAGTTCGTGACCTTTGTCTTGGACGTTGGCTTTTGTGCATGTGCAACAATATATAAGTCAGGCCTATTGTATTATGTATTTGAGCATTACATAATAAATTTGAGATCAAATAACAAATGAATATCTTGAAAAAAAGAGAAATTGGGGCATACTAACTTTTGTATTCTCCCTACAACAAGTATTCTAATTTTTACACGTGACTTTCAATGGTCAATGAGAAAGTCCAGAATTAAACAATGGAAACACATTTAAGATAACTACAACGATGTCACGATGTGATTAATGAATCAAAGTATTTTTTCATTCAATTTGCACTCAATACCATAAGATTAAATTTATTTTACGAGCCAATATTCCATAGGTTTTGTTTTATCAAAATAAATCAAATCATTTTCTGATCTTAAAAAATCCGCTCACATACAAACTTTGAAAAATAATACCCTTGGCCTTAAAAAAAGAAAAAGAGCGCCACATAACCTAAATATAGATGATGACTCATTGTTGAGATGTCCAAAACATTGCTGAAAGGATTTCCCAAGAATTCAACGAAATTCTAGGATAGGAGTAAAACAGTCATAGTGGAAATAGACGTTTAAACAAACAATATTCAAGAACATACACAACTTCTCTTTTTCAAGCCGATATTAGTAAAAATGCAATGCAAAATATCCGGTTAAGTTTTTTTGAAGTAGCACGTTGCTGATGATAAATACTTATGCATGACATCACAAATAAAGTGGAAATCCCCAAATGTCACGAACTTGCAAGCATAACGAACTTGCAATCATCAACGATACTATTAATGAAAAAAGGTGGTGTATGAATTCATGACAAAATCCCTAACATTTCAACAAGTCTGGTATAGCCCTATATGTGTTAAAATATAAGGGCATCAAAAAGGACCAAAACCCAAAATACTGAAATTTTACTTTTTTAGTGTTCATTTTAGTTTTGGCAGCTTTTTTTTTCTTATATATGTTCAATGAAGATTTAGATATTCAATAAATTGCATTCAATTTTATTCACCTCAGGGTTTATAATCACTTTATAAAGAGCAGAAGTAAATGATCGTATATTTTTTTAGTTGATATACATACACATCATTTACAGAACAACTTACAAAACATAATTGTTTAATATCATTATGATATTTCTTGTGTTAAAATTATATTTTTTAGAAAGGTTCTTAAAATTTCCCCTTTCCTCTAATTTCAAGGAAATTGACAACAATTTTAAAGTTGTGCTAAGATACCCAAATATTGGACAAAGAATTTAAATGTCACATGAAAATACAATTAACTGGAAATGAAAGTTGATGAAAATTAATCTAAATTTTTTGTTTAGTTTATTATTTTCTCACTCTCAAAGACTTGAATCATTGAGAAAGTGAAATTTACCAAATACTTGTGTGTAAATCTGTATATAAAGGCTTGTATTTATTAGATTAAAATTCTTGGCCTTAGAATAAACACAAAATAGCGTGAATTTTGTTGTTGTACATTACTTCTTGGACTTATGCCAGTACTCATTATTTTTCAAAAATATTTTCAGGATTATTGACGTCATAGTTTTGCATAATTTGAAATAAAAGAAAAATAAAATCGAATGAAGATATGTTTTCGTTTATCTTGTGGTAAAAAGCCTTGCTTGTTTTTGCAACTGGATATTTGAGTATTAAAAAAATAATTCAGAAAGTGGAAAAATATGTGTTTTCAAGGAAAGGTTGAAAACTGGCTTTTCTGTATCATCACAATTATATTAATTATGATATATTTTTTTGTCTACGCTTTAATACAGGCATACTAGGTTACACAATACAACAGATTAAAACTACAATAGATATATGAAAAATAGAATAAAATAATGCCATTACACCTACAGTACCTCCTTTCAGTAATTAACTTCAATTTTAAGAGATATTAGTGTATAATGATCTCATTCTAATGTGTTATGTGATATTTAATATAATTTTAAATGTAAATTTATTATTTATTAAAGAAATTTGACTGCATTTTATGAGAAATGTGTTCATGATATTGTGGACTTATGTATATGTATTAAAATAATCAAATTATAACTTTGTTTGTGATATAATATATTTCTGTGTTATGTTGTTATGTTGGGTTGTTTAACACTTACCACGATATAATGACAGTAAGTTTGATTGTTGTAGGAAACCAAAGTGTGTGAAGTAAATCACATTCTGGAGATATTCAATTATGACCTTTGGTTATCACTTGGTGGAGGACATTTTATGTTGTCATGAGGGTAATAATATCATTGTCCCCCTTGGTAGTGTAATTTGTGATGATGTAAATAGAAACTTGACAATTGTCATGCGTTTGTAATTTAGACCAATCAGAGGTATTTCTTGATAGTACAGTCTAATAATATTGATTATCAAACCCCTTCCATAGTAGTTGTAGAACTGGTCTGTACAATAAGATTCAAACCAACTATTTAGTTGACTCTGCCATAGAGTCCCATGTACATAACAAGTTTACTAATGTCCCTTGTAATTTATGACATGAGTTCCCCAATGTCCCCTGCATAGTACATGTATGACATAAGTTCACTGGGGTCCACATGTATTTTATGACAAGCATACTGAAGTCCTGTCTGTATTATGAACTAAAACTGAGGTCCATCAGATATGTTATTAGTTCTCATGATTTCCTGTATATTTTTTTCGATTGATTCTATTTTACTTGATATCCAGTTGGAAATACTTCATAAATACTCAGGATGATGTATGTTATAACATGAGTTGATGAATTCCTTCGAGATTTTCTTGCTGCGTTGAAGACTCATTGGTGGCCTTGGGCTGTTTTATGCTCTTCTGTCAGGTTGTTGTCTCTTTGACACATTCCCCGTTTCTATTCCTGTATTATTTGAATTGAGCTTACCAAGAACCCTTGTATATTATGATATGAGTTATTCGAGGTCCCCTTTATACTATGACATGAGTTCAATGATGTCAATTTGACTAAAAGGATGAATATTTAAGGATGAGATGTGGGATATACAGTATACCATATGTCAATGAGACATCAATCCAATGACAAAAATAAGAAAAGACATCTAAAGGGGACATACGGTTTTCCACAATAGACGGTTGACTAAATCTATATGTCAAGCTCTAAATCATCCAGAGTCCATTAGCGTTGGGAATACATTTAACAGAAACAAGCAAAGATCTGTATTCTCCAAATAACAAAAACATTAAGATGTGACACAAACTCAGACCACTGACAAGATTTGCAACTTCCAGACAGGCATATGAATATGTGACACTGTTTAGTTCTTGAGATCTATACCCTCCCCATTTATAATCTGAACTTACAAAATGTACATATAACAGTAAAAATCAGTACAGGAATTGCACTTAACTCTAAAATCACTATTATAACAGAAAAGATTTCAAGAATGATTTCTAAACTTGCTAGCTTTATTATTTATATAAATGTAGAACGTTGGATGCAGACTTTTTATTAAATTCCGCGAAGCGAAATCGTACTTCCACAATTAATCTCTAAATTTATGATAAATTTAGTAAAAAAGTAATGAATTTGAAATATATTTCATGACATGAGTTTACAGAAGCCTCCTGTATTCTATGACAAGACTTCACCGAGACCATTTTGAAATTATGACATGAGTTCAAAAAAGTCCCTTTTATATTATGATATTAGTTTACTTAGGCCCTTTGCAGATCATAGTTTCATACCATGAGTTCGCTCAGGCCCATTGTATATCATATCATGAGTTTGCAGAGTTCCCTTGTATATTATAACAAGAACTCAATGAGGTACCTTGTATATTGTGACACAATTTGATGATGTAAGAACAAATTGAACCAAAAATGATCACCTCTATATTTTAATAAAAGACTATACCATTGCCTCTTGTATATTTTGTTATGTGTGTAGAAATTAACTGCATTTAATGGAAAAGTTGGTGATGCTATTGTTGTCTTATATGTACAGAAATTTTAGGTATTGGTATAAGAAGGTCAAAATATCAGAGGAATTAAATATAAGAAAAGAAATTGAAGTAAAACTATACCAGTTTGCAGACAACACTCAAATTATTTTAAACTTATAGCTGGATCAGAAATTTCATTAAAGAATTTTAAAGAAATGTCGAATAATTACTAATTGATAAATATTTTAGGGCATAGTCAATTGAACATACTTTTGAATAAGGAGAATATTTGTGTTCCCCAAATTTTTTTAAACAAGCTAAAATAAAAAGTTCAAAAATATGTTGTATTTTCCCTACTTAACACAGGTTGAGGCGATTTAAAAGGCTATTATATATATATATATATAACATTCTGATTTTTTAAATAATAACTTAAGTTGAAGGGAGGAAAAACACAGCTTATTCACAGCAAATTATGAATAATTTGGACACTATCAATTTTACTGAATTCAACTTTATAGAAAAAAAAAGAGGGAGCACGTATATTGGAATATCTCCCATTTATCCTAATTTGTAAACATACATTTCTTGTAGTTTGACTAAAAATTATTATTTTGCTAAGTATTGTATATTTTCGTTAAATGAAGTTCAGTTTTTAAAAGTTGAACATATTTGAAAAAAAAACACACATAAAGTGTGAGCAATTGTTCATTAGTTATATCGCCGCTCAATGTTATTGAAATGCGAAGAAAATTTTATCATACATGACATTTTTGAATATTATTTTTCAGCAATCAGAAGTAGAACCTTGAAGGAACTGAAAAGCATGTCACACATGTTGGTGACACCAGATGAAGCTTGGTACCATATATCAAGAACCTTTGACTTGAGCTTTTTGCAAAAAAAATGTGACAGACATGTGTTATGGACAGACGGACAGACATACATGTAGGTTCAGTAGCAAAGCCTACTCCTTTCGAGCAGGGTATAAAAAAGTAACTCATATTAATATGAAATTACTTCCTTATCCTCCTTTCCTTACCCGTCGTTGTCAGAGTTAAGTATATGTTAAGCATAAAGAATTGTAAACAGGTTTAACTCCTGTAATGTACTACTAACATTAACAAATTGATTGCACAGCTCTCCAAGAGCACTTTGGTTCTCTTTTTAACAATTGAACCGTTTGGTTTGATGATGCAGTTCAGGTTATTAATGGCCTTCCATTAGAGAGTGAAAGTCACAGTAAGATGTTAAGCTATACATTTTCGTTGCGCTGAATAGAACAATTTCCATTGCAATCACATAAATCTTTTCGTATAACCTATAATTTGTTATTTAGTAAAGGTTAATAGCAGATAATTTAAAATCTGAAAATAGAATTAAGCTGTGTTTTTAATATGCTGCAAGCAAGTATGTGATCAGTACATCATTATACTGAGCTGCTGTGGAAATTTCTAATAATATTATATAAATTCTCTTTTGGACTTTTCCGATGTATTCCGATCAAATTTGTATTTTCAGTTTAGGGTGAATGAAAGTAGGCGAGGTATTTACGTCAAGGAGACAGCAAACCAACAACAAACATATCCAAAAGAAATCTAGATGAAAACATAGTCTTCAACAATAGACAGTCAGGTGTCTATACAATATGTCAATCACTAAATAATCCGTAAACTATAAAAGTTGTAAATAAATTAGACAGAAACAAAAATTCTAGTTGAACAAATTACCCCGGAATTTGTTACGATTTTCTTAAAAAAAAAAAAACGACAGGAAAACACATTTCTTTTCCTGAAAATTGTAATATTCACTTTAATAGCAGATGTTTTTTTATGTGGCTAGGTTGCGTCTCCCAACATATGTCAGTTAGTAACATAGAGACACCGAGCCCTCGAATCACAGAGTATGACCGACCAGCTGTGACCGACTTGTTGAAAAATAAGTTGCAGCTACTGAGTCTATTCAAAATGTTTACAAGAGTCAACTACTGACATTTGAGAATAGACCTATACCTATGAATATATATCAACCTCATATACTGAACAGCAGATAGCGCCCAAGAGTATCTAAAATTTACTCACTGCACTAGATACATTTGAATTTACTGTGACATCAAGACACATGAAGATAAAACAAGCTACATGGTATGTGAATGTGGTCAGAAACGGATCCGGGATTTTTAAAAAAAGGGGAGAGGCGGACAAAAGACAATGTTTGGAGTTGATTAGGTAAAAAGTCTGCATTAACCATAAATTTAGTTCCAGAAGGGGGGACCCGAGCACCCTGCCCCTTAAATACACCTTTGGTGGCATAATTCTTAAATAGAAAATAGAAGTACCATATACGACCGATATAAAGACATCGGCGTGAACCTGGGAAGAAACAAATTTTACACATTCAACTCATTTCTGCAGAATGGTTAATGATATTCTATGAGTTGTTTTAAAGAATTGACCCCAGCCCCCTTCCGACCCCCCCCCCCCCCCCCCAAAAAAAAAAAAACAACAAACAAATCAAAACAAAAACAACAGATGACATATTAACATAACAAACATACGAACAAACAAAAACATACATATTGTAAGATCATCATCTATAAATATAATAAAACATTTGACAAGACTGCATGTGAATTGTCAATATTTGTTTTTCTCCTCATAACAGATAATAAATGGCTGTCCCCAACCAACTGTATAACCAATACCGGTTTCGCCTCCAGAAAATGGCACTGAATCAAAATATTCAATCACTCTTGAATTGAAAAATCTAAGCAAGGTAAAAGGCTTGGGAAAAGGTGTCATGAAAATGGAACAAATCAGTATACAATTATTATGAATTATTATTACTAAGTCATTACTTTATACGCTTGAAGAAATATATCAACATATAGAATTTATAATAGCTCCTGCATCTCTGTGTAAACACGGTGATTTTATCCCAGTAAAAGTAAGATAATACACCGTAATACATTAAAGAGTTAATAGCCATATTATATTATCCGCCAGACATTGGCATTCTATAAACATTTTCAACTTATCACAAACTTGTATATATATCATTCAGCTGATAAGATAACAAGAGAAAGAAATAGAAAGGTAAAAGGGCGCTAATGTTTAGAGACTTGGTTTAATCAAGGATTTATATAAATCCTTGGTAATGGTTAAATGTTGCAGAATTTGTGTCTCTTCCAGACAAACACTTTTCCGTTCATCTATATTTTTTTTTTTGCCTTCCTGGACCAGGCACTGTATGTGTATAATGAAGAATCAAAACAGAATCCAAAATCATTGTCCTCTTGTGTTTCTTGCGGTATTGTGAACATTCAGCGAAACCACGGGTGTTTGCCCGCGGGGCCTCACCACTAAAAAAAGTCTACATACAGCCTAACCCAAACTTTAATTTCCCAGTTTCCAGTTCATATATTAAGCTTATATTAAACAAATAATTTATGACACTTATGGCCATATGGCAGTGTATGAACCGGGCGGTCATTTCCCCAAAAGTATAAAAACCGAAACGAAATAAAAAGATGTTCATAAAGTCTTATAACAATGTTTCATTATTACAAATGCAATATCATTTTAACTGATTTTTAATGATTTGTTTTAAAGCACCTTATTAATATTGTTGAATAAATGTTTTGTATCAATTATGAAATCAAAGACTTTTCAATATTATACCATGTCTTTCATTCAATAATTTGATCCTATATATTGTTGTTTTCCCGTCTACACTATTTTTTCTTGTCTAGTGTATGTAACAACTGATTTATATCCTTCTGATGATTAATATGTTTAGAGCGCGTGCGACTATAATTCACAAATTGTTAATGATCATATCTTAGGATACTAGTGGAGAACGTGCTGCTATAAGACTAAGGGATTGTGGATGCAAAGAGAATCAATAGGGCATTCTTTTGTGACGGAATGTATAATTCTAAATTACCGTAATCTAATGCTATTAACATTTTCTTTACAATTACAGGAGGATAAAACTGCACTTCAGTTTTCAGTGTAAGCTTGCATAAAATTTAAAGTTGTCGGAAGGCTTTCAATTGATTTCTTGTTAGCAGCTTGTTATATAGACATTAGAGGGAAATATACGACCTTTTATAATCAAATGACGTCTTTTTAACAAAATTAAATGTTAGGAAAAAAGAAATGACGATAGATCATTACGTGGATTGTAAAGTCTGTCACGGTTCATCAAGTAGTTTTATAGATACAAGCCATTCTATGTCTCAGTCTCTCTTATTTCCAGGAAATAATGTCCCACGATCAGGTTCTTTTCGAGAACAGAACGAACGTCTTGTGTTACCGTTGCGTTCTGGTTCCTTCAGAGAACCTGGGGAAATAGAAAAAGAAAGGAAACGACCACGTTCTAAATTGAACAATGGATCTTCAGGGAAGGACTTGAAAGTGTCATCACATGTTCACGGATTGAGACGTAGAAGTAGTTTACCACTAAGTACTCCAAACTTACATCAAATATCGCTTGAAAGCAAGGAAAAGGAACACTCAGTTCGTAGGGTGCGCTCATTTAAAACAACCACAAAAGGAATAGTGAATAGGGGTGATTCCTTTAGGAAAAAGGGTGACCGTGTTCCGTCAACGGAACAAGTAAGATATGCATATACACCGAGTCCAAGGCCTAATCGTCGTGTTCCTCTAGAAGTACAAGTACAGAAGACAGTGGATATTCCTCCTGAAATTTCGTACTATAAAGTTGTAGTGCTTGGTTCTCATGGAGTAGGCAAAACTGCAATAACGCATCAGTTTATGACATCGGAATATGTTGCCTTTGACAATTCAATCGGTAAGTTTAATTTTAAGGGTAAAGGGAAAACCATCCAGCTTATAATGTCGGTTTAAACGATACAAGAGTTACAAATGACACCAATTTTTTTACATTTTTACCTATTATGTCTGTTTGTTTTGCTCACACATTGTTGTTAATATAATCGGGAATTATATGCGACTGTTATACAAGAGAGAGTTTTAGCTAGCTATAAAACCAGGTTAAATCCACGATTTTCTACATAAGGAAATGCCTGTACAAATTCAGGATTACGACAGTTGTTTTCCATTCGTTTGATGTGTTTGAGCTTTTGATTTTGATACAAACGTGTATCACCTGCCTCATATTATCATGTTATATATATTTATGTTACCGGAGAAATGCCAACATCTTGGCCAAAATTGGAAGTTAGTTTTTTTCCCCAAAAAATGCATATTCCTTTCCTCCTCAAAAAGAAAGTTATACGCCCTTCCCGGATTTCCGTCTTCCACTTTTACGGTTTCCATGTGATTTATAAGATCGAAACTTTTATACAATATCATGGAGCGTTATTGCGTATATCAAAGTCTTGTTCGTTTTTGGTGGAATTTAAAATTAAGGCCCTATCTAGGTCAACTTGCTCTCAATAGTTGATATAGTTAGCACGCACACTATGTTTCTTTAATCAGCGTCTTCAAGTAAATACGTTAGTTATTCGGACTATGAAAACAATAAGTTTAGAAAACCAATAACATTTATATTAAACAAAAACATTGCAGTAAATCCTCATAAAGTGGCCGATCAGATCACAAATCGATGTTAAAATGCAAAGACTACTGGATTTATGGTTTTAAGCTTCCACTTCGTTAAAAATACACAATACACAACGTAGATTACCAATGACTTCATTACAGGCATAAGTACTAATAATAAAGATACTAGTGATAAAAATGTATTCTGTAAACAACATAACTTTAGTACTGATACAGAGATAACATTGGCATTTTGTCAGGAGATTTATATCATGTCAAGCGTTCAGAATTTATTGTAAGCTTTCTCTAAGTGTTTTGAGTAATTGTTTAATTAGAGAGACTTTAAAACATGCTTTTATGTATCAATATACAGCTGTGTCCTAGAGTCTATACACCTGTTAGTTAGAAATAAAAGAAGTATAGAAAGTTATAAAACTACATGCGTGTTATGATATATAAATAAGAAGCTCGAGAAATGAAGAATATCGTGACATTTTTTAATTACTATAAATACTAAAAATGCTTTTTCATTCGTCAGAAAAAGTTGCAGGTTTTGACAATAAAACCATACAAAAACATAGTTTAATGAGCAATTATTCTTCCATTGAGTCTACAGTTATATAATATCAGTTGAGATGGTACTTAGACAGACGTCATACACGGCTTCTCAAGAAGCATGCGATAAGCTAGCGACTCTATCATTTAACGATGTACATGATGTTCGTGCAATGATATTGTTATTCACCAGTATCTTTTAAAAATTGTGTCTCGTGCACAGTTGTCAAATAAATTCCACCTGAGTATATGTATATTTTCATAGACATGCGTAGAATATGGGGTCTTTGTCGCCAAGGCACATCATGTACTATGACTATTATTCATTATCAATTACTGACACAAAAAGTACGGCTACCGAAACTAGAGACGGTTATAAAATAGTATCATCAAACTCCAAATGAAATACTGAACCTTTTGGCACTTCATCGTAGACATTACATACATCTAACTCTTACGGAAAAGGTCCATTTAATATACAATTTTCAAATTAAATGATATTCAATAATAACTATGATTTTCCTGTCTAGAAATGATCGATTCGATGTAAACTCATATAGCAGATTACATCTGGGACATAATATATTGTTAGTATACTATTCCCAGATTACATGAACTAATACAACGTCATTGATTCCTCATTTTGTTTGATTTGAAAAGTTACAAAAAGAACAGCGATGAAAAATATGCAATTATTTTATTACGCAAAAATAATTGAAAAATATGTTTTTAAAGTTCTACAAGTGTGGACACAGATCAGTGTGGATAGTATGTTTGGATGTTTGACAGTGTTTTCTGGCAAAAAATAGTTCTCTGGTTTTCCCCCATAGGGTTCTATGTTGTGCACAGTGACAGCCAACCTGTACCAAACACTGAAAATAGCAGCGTCCTTTATTTAATATTAAGTTTTAATGTTCAAGACTGTCATGGAGGCCTGAGACGCTACTTTAAATCAGTGCCGACCGTTCATAGATAATATTTAGCTAGACATTGCTTTTAATATCAAATCTACATTTTGTACATATTGGCCAACGTACTATGAGTGCTTGGTGTATATAATATGAACATTCCTGTAAATAAATTTTGTGCATGTGCAACGTTACATTGGAGGATTTCCTTTCAACATTTTAACTTTGAAATAAATTCTACGTGAATACATTAACATTTTCAAAAATGATCCGTTAAGGGAACACAGCTAGCTGAGTGTGCTCCAACGCTAGAGAGATTTACGTAAAGGAGCGGAAGATTGGAAGGATTGGCAAATGATTTAATAGTCTGAGAACCTGCATGCATGTAATATTTGTATGGTTCTATTTATGTTCCTTTGAGGTGGTCATTTCTTACTTGGGTTTGTCCACATAAAACTGAAAATTTGTTTAGGACCTTCCGAGTATCATTACTAAAAGATTTTGTTTAAATGTGGAAATTGTTTCTATGAAGATATATTATGGTTTTAAGTAACGATAATATACCAGATATGGTAGATTCCAATACAGATACTCATAACTCCTACACACTGATTAAAATTCTATTAGATATGAACAGGATTGTTTAAAGTTCTATTATGGTATTTATAGAATATGAAACTTCAATGCATTATGTATTGTAAATATATAAATCTACAATATTCCTTAATAAGATATGTACATGCAAGATGATCAAAACTTTTGGACAGTTAACATTGGTTGCAAGACGGACGAATGGCAACACACGAGTTTACTAAGTAAAATCTAAATCTCCGACCTTCAATTAAAGAGGGGCGTGTGGTCTATTATCAGGGCGAAAAACTTGTAGCCGTCATGCTACTCACAATCAGAAACGACGTTTTTGATGCTTGATTTATTAAACATGTATCTGGCAGAGTCCTTGAGAGGAATCAGTAATAATGGCCAATTATCATTGCAGTTTGTTAATTACTTTTGACATTCGTTGATGTATAACATGAGAGAAGAATTGCACTGAAACATCAAAACAGCACTTACTGGTATTTTGTCTGTTTTTTTTTCAGTTCTTCCGATAAATTTGCTATTGACTGCATGCAAATGTATACAATTAAATGTAGTGAAATTCACATGCAAGAACGACAGAGGTGGCGACCCTACATTTATTTCACGCCAATTTTCAAAAATTTCAGTATTAGCTAAAATTTAAATCATAGTTTCGTGTGTCTTCTTTGAGGTTCTAACAATAGAATGGCTCAAAATATGACTAAAATATAAATGTCTAAAGATCGCTTAATACGTCGTTTTGATAGATTTTGTCGAATTTTGATTATTTATCTAAAAATGTATGAGAAGGAAATTCTTCACCAAAATCAGTATTCACTTAAAAATAAAGCTATAAATTGTCTTTCATATACAAACTAATTCGTTTTGGTTAAAGATGGTCTTTCGATGCAATATGTAGCGTAGATTGAATACTAATTTGATTGTATGGAAATGTGTAAAATTGGTGAAAAATGTGTCTAATATATAATGTACACTTTTCAATATTCTAAGTCCAGCAGTTTAACATGTTTAAAACATATTTCTGATTTTTATACGACCGCAAAAAAATTTTTGTGGTCGTATATTGGTATGACGTTGGCGTCGTCGTCGTCGTCGTCGTTGTCGTCTCGTCCGGCGTCGTCCGAAGACACATTGGTTTTCGTACTCTAATTTTAGTTTAAATGAATGGATCTCTATGAAATTTTACTACAAGGTTCAATACCACATAAGGAAGGTTGGGATTGATTTTTGGGGTTATGGTACCAACAGTAAAGGAATAAGGGGCCAAAAAGGGGCCAAAAATAAGCATTTTTGTAACTTCCAGACATAACTTGTGTGTTAGTGTATGGATCTCTCTGAAATTGTACCACAAGGTTCCATATCACAAAAGGAATGCTGGGATTGATTTTGGGGGTAATTGCCTCAAAATTTTAGGAATTAGGGGCCAAAAACGGGGCAAAAAACAAGCATTTTTCTAGTTTCATGACAATAACTTGTGTGTAAGTGTATGGATCTTTCTGAAATTGTACTACAAGGTTCCATATCACAAAGGGAAAGCTGGGTTTGAGTTTGGGGGTAATTGCCCTAAACGTTTAGGAATTTGGGGCCAAAAAGGGGCCAAAAAACACATTTTTCTAGTTTCCAGACGATAACTTGTGTTCAAGTGTATGGATCTCTCTGAAATTGTACTGCAAGGTACCATACCACAAAGGGAAGGCTGGGATTGAGTTTGGGTGTGATGAATCATAAGGGGGTTCAAAAAATTTGGGGGAGGGATTTTTCTTTTTTTCCTTTTTTTTTTCTTTTAAAATTTTCCATTTTAAGTTGGTTATTTCTGATTAATATTTAAAAGCAAATAATAATGATATTGTAGGAGATACACACCAAACAGGATGTGTAAATTATTATATAATAAGTATTGTGCAATAGCAAGAAATTTTCAATTGCACAGTATTGCACAATAGCAAGAAATCTTCAATTGCACAGTATTGCGCAATAGCAAGAAATCTTCAATTGCACAGTATTGCGCAATAGCAAGAAATATCCAATAGCACAATATTGCGCAATAGCAAGAAATTGTCAATTGTACAGTAATGCGCAATAGCAAGAAATATTTAATTGCACAGTATTGTGCAAAAGAAGATACTTCGTATAAATTGCTTATTTCTTGACCAATTTCAATGGGGTTTTATTCTTGAATTCTTGGGGTTCTTTAATATGCTGAATCTAACCGTGTATTTAGTTTTTGGATTTTGGGCCCCGTTTTTAAATTGGTCCACATTGAGGTCCAAAGGGTCCAAAATTAAACTTTGTTTGATTTCATCAAAAATTGAATATATGGGGTTCTTTGATATGCTGAATCTAACCATGTATTTAGATTTTTGATTTTTGGGCCCCATTATCAACTTTGTCCACATTGAGGTCGAAAGGGTCCAAAATTAAACCTTGTTTGATTTCATCAAAAATTTAATGCTTGGGGTTCTTTGATATGCTGAATCTAACCATGTATTTAGATTTTGGATATTGGACCATAGTAGGTGAATGTCAAATTTAAAATTTTTAAGTTCTTAGACCACATTCATTCTGTGTCAGAAACCTATGCTGTGTCAAATATTTAATCACAATCCAAATGCAAAGCTGTATCAAGCTTGAAAGTTGTGTCCATACTTGCCCCAACTGTTCAGGGTTCGACCTCTGCGGTCGTATCAAGCTGCGCTTTTTTGAGTAAACCAAATACAGGTAAAAAATAAAAGGAGATGCTGGTTAAACGTTGATCAGACAAAAAAAAAACATAACCCAGAGACATCAACACCAAATTCTCGAAATGACAAAACATTAAGTCTGATAAGACATTTAACAATCACGGACAAGAACCACCTAATGTATTATATACAACATTGCCAACCGGTTATCGAACTAAACGATTGCTTCGTCAAGTACCCTTACATAGATAGATATGTCCAGAAGAAAATCGATGGCAGGCATAATTTAGATACTTTGAAATTGAAATAAGTTGACCATGAACTCATAGCATAAGAAGCATTATTATATCCCAATAATTAGAAACAAATAAAGTTAATATGGCATGGGAGTGATAGTTCAATCAGCAAACATAATCGTACAAATTTTAAAGCTATCTAGACCATATAATGATCAGCGAACACTTCACAAATAATGCTATAACCTATAATGACACAAACAACGATTTTTAATGTTTTTTTTCTCCACCCTTAATAATTGATGGTCTCAATGCTATCGTCGATAGGTGTTACTGATCAATACATTTCTTAAGAAAAGGTTAAATCTTTGTTTTTTCTAAATCTTGTTTCAAAAGGGCTAGCAGGTCATTATTATTCTGTTAGATATATTATACACTTATTTTATAATAATCAAAACGTATAAACAGCATGAACGGAAATAATCTACATCTGCAAAGTAAATTCTATCTTGTATATTTATACATCTGTTCCTTATCTTTTATACAGATGAACAAACATGCTTTTTGATTATTATAATTGCGATTTCGATCCTTATCATAAAGTTAACATGCATTATAAATTTACCATGCGTAGGTTAGCATTTTGTTCTGATAAAATTCACATATGATAATTTTCAACTGGAAACAGCTCTTCCAATGCACAAAAATTACTCTTACATTTAAGAATTGATTTTTTAGTAATTTTATTGAGGGTGTAAATGAAGTACATCACTTATTCATGAACCCATTGCTTTCTATGTTAAATACCTCAATTTCAAGTAGGCACAGCTCTTTTGTCTTAAGTTCAAATAAAGTGACAATCATTGCATGTCAAAGCAAAACCTTGTGATGTCTTGTACTGAAAAAAAAAAACCAATATATCCTTAATTACATATAGGAGAGAACTGGTTCCCGGAACTTCGGATGTACTAAAACAGGTACTTCAGATCTGACAAACAGGCAAAATATACCGTACCTTTTAAATTTCATGCAATATTTTACTATTCAAAACTATATTCAAAAAGTGTTCCAGAATGATCACCAGTCATTCAGCTTTCATTTGATACCAAAATTACCAAAATATTCTACATATTTTGAAAGTAACACCCATACGTAGGAACTATTTTGTGTTAAATATGTACTGCTTTCTGTCAGGGTACGAATTAGTGGTGTGACACCTCAAAGCTTTGGCCGAAAATGTGCATGCGTAAACGTTCAACGCTTTTACAACTCTATAAAATAACAAAACGAAGCATTCAATTCTTATATCATTTTTATGCTACAACCATGAAATTACGAGTTAAATCAACCCTTTTGGCACTCAAGGTGTATCTAATACATACCAGTGAACTTGAGATTAGGAATTTTACCGAACTTATATATAAAAATAAGGAGATGTGGTATGATTACCAATGAGACAACTATCAACCAAAGTTCAGATAAAGTGGATGTAAGCAATTATAGGCAACCGTACGGCCTTCAACAATGAGAAAAACCCATACCGTATAGTCGGCTATAAAGGCCCCGACATGAAAAATATGAAACAATTCAATTGGGAAAACTAACGGCCTAATTTATAACAAAACAATTTACGAATAATAAATATGACAGACGTGAACCAACAGGCTACTGACTTGGAACAGGCACATAAAGAATATGGCGGGGTTAAACGTGTCTGTGAGCACTCAACCCTCTCCTAACCTGGGACAGGGGTGCAACAGCACAACATAAGAACAAACTATAAAAATCAGTTGAAAAAGGCTTAACTCATCAGATCGATACATAGAAAAACATCAAACAAAAACACAGACAGGACGTGACAGGGTATATATCCATCCCTCATCCCTAACAACAAAAAAGACACTAAGTACAGATCTGAGAGTACTCGCAGGTCCTGACAGCTAGTTAAAAGCCAATAACAACTAATAAAAAAAAAATCATGTATCAAAGACTAAAATATCAATCAGTACACATCCAACATCCAATGGATTTATTGTAAAGACGTCATTAACAGTCAGAGAAAACATGACCTTGTGCAATACCAAAATATAAGTATCGACAGATTATAGTACCGTGAAAGTACATATGTGTAATATTTAGTATTTCTGGGTCTTTTTTTTGATATTAACACCCACAAGGACGACTTAAAAGTAGGATCTATGACAAACGTGACGATTGCAGCCTTTCCATTGCCAATATCCTATTTCACGACAGTAATATACCCTTTGCCCAATTGTATGCATATCTCAAATGATACTTTACGCGAATAATTTCAATATATTCTTATATATACTAAATTTGAAACTACTGCTGTCTCTAACTTAGTCCTACATTAAAATGATGAATGTTAATAAAATGGGAATACGTTCACAAGACTACAACCCATCTATATTCCCCTTTCTTTGCCGAAAAAAAAGAAAAGAACAATTAGAAAAAAGTATGTTCGTCAACAAAATGCAAATGTTTACGTAATATTTCAAAATCTCTAACGCAACGATATTCAATCTACACTTAATTCCTTTAAGAAAAATGACAAAAGAATAATACATATCTTATGAGACTGGTGGAATAAATAAAGTATCAACCGACGAGTTTCTTTACTTAAGATCTTAACCAGTTTTTGAGATGGAATCATTCTCCCTTTAAATCGCAATTAGTGGGAAAAACTAAAGAGGTCCTTTAATGTTTTTCATTATTTTTAAGATCATGGTGAAGGAAACAGCATTGTTCCTGTACAGCTTAATGGAGAAGAATCTACTCTTGAATTCCTGGATTCCAGAGAAAATGAGGTAAGACCCAGGAGGACCATAAACATTCCTGTATTCCATAGATAATAGAAACATTCCATACATGATTCCAATCTAATGCTTGGTACCTTGTGTTGTTGAATTGAATTTTGTTTTGTTCTTTCATTTCGTGTGTTTGGTATATTTCTTATTTCCTTTTTAGTTTCAATCATCCTCGAGATTGTCGAATATATAGTCTATATTTTGTTGGCATGTCTAAAAAGAGGGTGGATCAATTTCACACCAGGGCGATTTTTCAGACGACATAAATATGTTTTAGTCTGTTAAAATTTACAATTACACCGCTTTGGGGTAATAACTACGTTATGTCGTGTTTCTGATCATGAAGTAGAATTAAAGATTCTTAAAGATAGGGGCCAAGAATTTTATAGTTCTATACAAATCCTTGAAGATACTCAAAACCGAAGTATTATCAAATTTTTATCCAACAGATATAAATATAGGAAAAGGTTTTAATATATTTATTTTGATTATTGGAGACCTTCATTCGTTGCAAAATCAATTACAAAAACATGCACACTTGCAAATTTCGTATCAAATAGCTTTCAACGGCAATGCATAAAGCTCGTTATTTTTTTATGGATATAAGTAAAATTGTTTTAAAAAAATCTTTCGAAAAACTTCACTTAAGGATTACTTATGCGATGAAGGGAGTGCGCACAATTTCGACAAATGCGAATATATTCATCCTAAAAGTATCTCAAATTACATAAAAACGCAGTTATCTATCATAACGCGTACTAAAAAAAGAAACGGGGTCTTTATGATGCTGTCCGTCCGACTAATTCAACATCCTAAAGTTTCCTATTCATAAAACAAAAGAAAAAAGTTTATAAACAATTTCGATGAATCGCTGACGACAATGGCACTGTTCACAAGTATTAAGTGTTTCATTTGTATGATGTTAGGTGTCTCTCCAAATCTTTCAATGAATGTGGCATTTCCACTTGTTGAAGCTGAATGTTAAATTAACCAATGAAAGGATGTCAGTGAAACAAGTGGATACAATTTAATCACATTTAAAAACACTTATCGTGTTTCAATTTGGGCGTTTCCCCACAACAAAAACTATGACATTTTTAATATTTGTATTGCACTCCCCATAATATTTGTTCCGGAAAGAGCGAATTCTTCATACAATTTTTATTACATACAGACATCTTTTACTTTCTGTTATATTCTTTACATGAAAGTGTTAACAGATATCTCTTTGCAAAAATTGTATAACTGGGAAATCGTAGATGTTAATTGCATTTGATATCACCCATACAGTGTAATGCATGTCACACGCTGAAAAACAACGAGCTTAAGTCTTATTACTTAAGACTATAGATCTACAATTGACATCTTTAATAATTCATCCATTTGGTATTCTCATTATATTAGCTAACGTAACAGACACACACCTTGCTTGATGAAGTGCACATACTTTTAAGCTTATTTGCATCGCTTAAGTTGGCCTTAGACGATGATGCTGGGAACATTTTATTTTGATCTCTCAATAACTGAAATTTATTCCCGAAATAATTATTGTACGCATTGAAATCGACATTGTTTGTTCATATACTAAATGTTGAACTTCCACTAACTAAAGCTTGTTCAACACGAGCCCTCCCAAATAACGAATGAGAACTCCGGTCTCATTCAGTGGTAGTTTGATATAAACAAAAAAATTGGAACGGGATTGTGGCTATAAAAACTGGAACATGCATGACTGTGGTCATTTGTGACACAGTTTTCCGAAACGGTAACCCAAGTCATGATAGACGTGTTCATAAACTTTTGAAGCGATGACTTTAACTTTACCATTAAGAACCTTGTTTTAAGTTACCCTCTATCAAATAAATCATAACAGGAAATGGAAGCCAAGGAAATATCGTATCAACTGGGAGATATAATTATATACTTCGTAAGTATGCAGTTCCTGCTTGAATGTTTCTTCACCAATACGGAAATTTCATAGTGGAAAAACGGAAGTCATTCAATTTAACGTATTTGAAATATAAAAATAAGGAGATGTGGTGTGATTGCCAATGAGAGAATTTTCCACCAGATTTCAAATGACGTGGATTTAACCAACTATATAGGTCATTGTACGGCATTCAACAATGGGTAAAACTCAACTATAAAAGGCCCCGACATGACAAAATGTGAAACATTTTAAACGAAAAAACCGACCTTCATGTCAAATTCTATAGGAGTAACAATATTTACACAGAAGTGTTATCATTTCTCAGCAAATAGTTCAGATTTTGGCAAGCAAACCAGAAAAAGACAAGATAGTACAGCGATTCATATTTCCATACAAAAGCAGTGTTAAGGTATCAATTTGACGACAGAAAAGTAGACGCAATTAAGATTTCATTCCAAATCCATAACTACACAACATCTTCTGAAAGGGTTACTGCACCTGGAAAATTTGAGATTATGACACTTTTCCTGTTTTATCAAAACTAATTGCGCGTATTAGAAAAAGAGAAAAGATAGAATATTTATTTATCACTTCTATGGAAATCAGATGAAGTCGTCTCATATCTTAGGCGCCAACGCCCCTCAAATATGAGAAGCTTACATCTGATACATGGATGAGATGCGATTAACAAAGTCATCTTCTGGGCGAAATGCGAACATATGAAATTAAGATAATCCAGTAGAGTGAAGAAGATCCAGTTGTTCAGTTTGAGTTGAACTTTAAAAAAAAACAGCATAAATTACACCTATGATTGTCTAGTATTTCATCTTTGCAGTAAATGTCATCGAAATAACTGCATTTTAACAAGCCGAAATTGGAGTTTGATTACAAACCGTTCCTTAACTTGATTTCAATTCATTGAACTGGCTTTGAACAAGGAAGACTAAACATCTGTTCTTATCAATCTCTATCATTTCGAAGTTCTACCTACTTTCACTTGTTTAAGTATTTGAATCTTTGCGATTGTATAGTTTTCAACTCGGGCATGCATATTTATGACAATCGTTTTTATCACAATTTTACTAATTTCTAAGGTCTTCCATTAAAAATCGTTTTTGAAATATTAGGATTAAAACTCATTTGCTGTTGAACGAATTGTAATAATGATAAAAATGGAAATGAATATGTTGTGCAAACGTTATTTTGTGTTGGATACATTTTCAGGCGAACATTTACTTCTGTCTAATGTTAGAATAACAAAAACCTAGAGAATTTTGCTTCGTTCAGGATATGAAGACCACTAATTATCTGTTATAACCATGTTAAATGTTAAGATGCCGAGTTTGAGAGTTCCATTGACCGACAGATGAACTATTATAAAGAATACTGGCATACATTAAACAACTTGTTCATTGGAATTCCCAACGTAGTTAGTTTTTATCTTCAATGGATAAACAATAAAATGTTGGATATAAAACAGACAAAGGAAAGAACAGATCTGAACATAACATTTTTCATAAAGTTGATGTCACTACGATTAGGAAACGACTAATGTACTAAACTTCCAGGGATTATCAAAAAACAAAAAGTCCGTAACTATTTGCAAAATTAGTTCAGTCTGTAATACATACAGTGCATGTATATTGAAACCGTATATTTTGTCCTGCTTAAGGTGGATGGGGGGTCTTAATTAGAATCCATAGAATTTTTAAATGATTTGTCAAAATGTAGTTTTTATCATGCTTTTTTCCAAAATATAATAAAAAGTATGGGTCACCAGACTGTTTTACACGCTACAGGTTGTGCAAAATTGTCAGATTTTGTATAGATTATGCATGGAAAATCTAATTTTGTGTGATAAAAAGAAAACTACACCATAGAATTTTAAGATAAAATGTGAGAAGATAGCTCTTATAACATGCTTTCAGATATGAAAAAGAAAAATGGGGTCACCGGACTTGTTTTCTTGCTACATATTAAAATAGGTAAATTCACAACACTTTCTATTATAGAAATTAATCTATCTGAGTGATCACCCCTACTATCTGAGTTATCTCCCCTTATGTGGCAAAGTTGAAAAAAAAATTAATCAAACAAAAATTTTATGTTTTTTTTTTAAAATACAGCAGTAAAATATGAAAAAAACACATAATTTTCTATATAAACATGAAAAGTCTTACACATGAATTACATACTACTCTCAAAATTAGCACATTTCATTAAAGATCTAGACCAATTGTTATCTGCTACTTCAAAATCCAAGATGGAGGCAGACTCCCCAGCCATCTTAAACCTTATTTTTTTAATTCGCAAATGTTACAAATTTATCTGGACCGATTAGTAAAACAATGAATTAGTCCATATAATCCCTGATTAGTACCTATACAGAAACATATTGATTAAAATTGGTACATGTCCTTATATCTCTCTTTTAAACATGGACGTCATTGTTTAATTATGACGCCCAATATTGTTTCTTTTTTTCTTGTATGGTTGCCGTCTTGTTGACGTGTACACCACATATCCTTTTATTGGTTTGTTATAATACGAATATGTTTTCTTTTCTTCTTATTTTCTAATAGCTCGATTTTTTTGTTATACTTCATTTCAAAGAGAAAAAAAAAATAATGCAATTAGACTTTCACCAGTTTTGATGTGCATTTAAAAAATCATCTTAAAGATTCCAATTTCAATGCGAATCTCACAAATGAATTAAATTTGTGACTTTGATTAATTTGACAGTGCCTCAACATTTCATTTGCCATATCAATCTATGTACAGGAAAAACTTAAAAATGTAAATGAGATTTATGTTTCCGACTTACACAAGAGGAAGCGAAGCACCAGAATGAGGTATGATGCATGTTCGTTGAACTCGTCTTATTGTGGAAATAATTAAATTTTTTATTTAATTCAACCAAAAGATATGTGGTGCGACTAGCAACTAAATTAAATTATCTGGAAAGGATGTGATATACATATGAAAGAGTTCCGTCCTAAGTAATATGAATAGCTTCCAGATATAAACTTTTATACCAACTTATGGAGTCTATAGAGACTAATTGATGGGT